AACTCAGTAGGGACGCCTACCACGGATATCCAAAACGGAATCTCCGACGGGAAGCTTCTTTCCATTCTTGAATGCCACCTTGCCAAAGCGAGCATCCAGTAATCAAAATGACACGGTTGAATCTCCAAGACAGCCTCCAAGTCTTCCTCTTTTTCAAAATGAAACTGAAACCTCCCCATTCCCAAATCTACACCTGTGACCCTCTCTTCGGCCGTCCATATCTTCAGAATCATCACCAACAAAGATTTGATCAATGTACGAGAGTAGCTCTTGATCAATTCAAATTTATCAAAGTGGGGAACTGAGATCTTCAACCTCTTGCGTACACCTTCGACGGTCCTTGATTCTTCATTCTTTCCGACAAGCTGACCCTCAGTCATCGTTGCAGAAGCCAAAAAAATTAGAGAATATGTGTAAGAGACGTAAAAGATGTTGTGTAAAGCTACAATATAACGACCTAACATCTCTCCCATTTTATACAGAAACCAGAAAAATCTGCCATAAACACCAAATATTCCAATAATCCCAAGTCGGATATCCCACTGAAAATAGAAGATACGCTCAAACTGGAACAATATCTACATATTCAAACTGGACTTTCCTGAGTAATGAACCCCATGAATCCCTTGTTTCCATTGTTTTTGATAAAGAAATCAAGACCAAATCTTTTGGATACCTCGATCTGGTGAGACTGATTTCATTTTGGTGATAACGAATCTCGGATCGTGACAATCTTGTGGTTGATGAATCAGTTTCCTTGAAACCCCAATACCCAGAATCCTGTTTTCCAAAGCCCCTTCTGGCTTCCATATCTTCCCGACATTAAGATCCACTGGATCCCAGATCTTTATGGAGATATCCGGATCCCATCCCCTCGATCTTATCTTTGAAGTCCCACACAAACCCTAGAGAGTGTAAATCGCTATCGCCGTCGCCAAGATATTGTGTGATATTTTAATAAGAGAGTAAACAAATGATTTTACAGGGGGAGATTTCTATGAAGGAGAAGAGGTCCAGGTCTCTCTCAAATACGAGAAACTATTTGGGTATTGTAACATATGCTCCAGTCTTTGCCATGACGAGAGTCACTGTCCTTTAAGCACCAAAATTCCAGTGAGGAAGGATGAATCCAAGACTACAGAGCCGAGTAGGATGGAGGATCGTGCCAGAAGCTATAGGGGAGTGGTTTTAAATGATGGAGTGGTACACCAGAAGAAAGCAAAAGAGAACAGGGGATACGATGGAAAAGGAAAAGGTAAAATGTATGAGGAACCAGATGCTCAATGGGTTAAGGGTCCAGAGAGAGAGAGAGAGTAAATGATCTTATTCTCATCGTGGTAGCCATAGATATGAGGAGGGGATCTCAAGGAATAGGAATACTCGTTGGGAACAAACAAGGTATCACCAGCAGGAACCATGGCTTTCCGGAGAGATCAGGGCCCATTGAGAAATAACGAAAGAGAGGAAGGTGAAATACATAATAGTGAAGGAGCTAAACGTGCTCAGCAGGAGGACCTCACCATAGTTCCCCAAATCGCATCACCAAAGAAGCAGGAACACACATTGGTCGAGGTAAATAAAAATCTTTTGGAATTGGAAGCGGATGTTCAAGATCCTGTTTCTCAAGGGGGGGGGGGGGGGTCATGGAAAATGGTCTAGATACATCTAAGGAACCAGTCAACCCTGAGGAAAACAAGATCGATACTGATGTTATGGATTGTGATCACTCCAGAATTCATGTTGAGAACACTGAAGGTCTTAGTTCTGGTGAAGAGGATTTCCAGAATCTAACTGATGGTGAGATGGAGAGGTCGGATAATTGTGGCATCGCTGATGCTCCACCAATCAAAACAGGGAACAAGGATCTAGGAGAGGGTAATGTGGAAAAGAAGAAAAGCACCCGTAAAGCTCTTTTCTCACAGTCCTTATTGGTAGCAGGTTCTTCCAAGTTGATGTTGGTCAGGCAGTTCTATCTCCAAGGAAAAATAATATAGGGAAGACAGGTAAGAAGCATGGAGACACCACGAAGAAAAAAGAGGAGAAGGGTACTTTAAATCCTAAGCCTTCCTCTTACAGAAATTAGCATACTTATGATTAGTGCATGCTATGAAGACATGAACTGGGACTGTCACTGGGGGTTTGGCGATTTGGTGTTGGTGTTTTGGCTCTTTTTATTTTCTTTGGGTTCATTAGTATGCTATATCAGCATCTTTATGTTTTTTCTTTATGCGTTTGTGTGCCTTTGCAGGGGATTTCTTATGTTTGTTGGCCATGTATATGAGGCATGAGATTGGGATAAAACTTCTTCTTTTTCTATTTATTTCTTCACCGTATGGAAATGCTTTTATTGGAATGAGTTAGAGACCTTGGAAATTATAGGGAAATATGGTTTTGGTTTGTTACTGGGATGTAAACATGGCATATCAGCTTTCTCCTATTGCAAACAAAATCTATACTTGATCTCTTCAAATCAAGGCATAGTTCAACAACACCATTTTCAGCATGAGATGATGTCGGAGTTTGTGGTTTCCGGAGAGTGTTCTGGGATACAGCATTGTCAGATATTGTATATAGGATAGTGGAATCAATACAACAAATGGATATGCTGCTCTCGTTGAAGTTACTTGTGAATCGATATTTATTTGTTGGTTTGCTTTATTTGTATTTTATTTGTCATGATGGCTCAATTATGCTCCCTCCATTAGATGTGAAGAAAACGCAAAGATGAGAAAGGAGAGGGTTTAATACAAGGTGGTTGGTGGTTTTAAGGATGACGGTGTCTGGGCGTTCTTCACCTTCTGCAATCTTAGCTCTGCGGAGCATTTTGGTAAAAAAATTTATATGTGAAAATTCTTAGTTGGAATTGCTGTGGAATGGGGAGTAAGTGGACAACAAGTTATCTTAGACAAATATGGCACAAACATAGACCATACTTTTTATTCTTGTCTGAGACTAAACAAGACTTTGAGTTTGTGCAAAATTTTCAATCCCATTTTGGTTTTGATAATTTAATTACAGTAGATCCAAACGGAAGGAGTGGCGGTTTGGCTCTTTTTTATAACAACGAGTTTCAGGTTCAGGTTCTCTATTCTAGTAATAGAATGATTGATGTGGAAGCTGTGGTGATGGGGAAATCAGTTTTCTTAACCTTCTTCTATGGTGAACCAGCACATAATCTAAGAGAACAAGTTTGGGAACGCCTGACTAGGTATGGGATATCAAGATCGAAGCTTTGGTTTGTTATTGGGGATCTACATGAAATAACTGGTAATCATGAAAAAGAAGGAGGACCTTTACGCCAACCAGACTCTTTCGTCCCTTTTAATAACATGATACGAAATACATGATTACTGGAATTCCCAGCACGTGGAAATACAATGTCATGGAAAGGAAGGCGAGGGAAGGGCAAGGTGGCAGTGATGGTTAGGTGTCGTTTAAACCAAGCCTTAGCAAATGAGGATTGGCACACTCTTTCCTATTTCTTATACGGAATATTTGGGCATGGTGGGGTCCAATCATCGCCCAATAGTGGCCTATCTAGAAGACAAAGTTCCAAAGAGGAAAGGTCAATTTCGATTTGACAAGAGATGGATTGGGAATGAAGGGCTTATGGAGTCAATATCCATGGGATGGTCGACACATACTGGAAGGGTTATGGAGGATCTGGTTACCAAAATTAGTGATTGTCGACATGAAATTGCTAAATGGCGGAAAAATAATCCACCATATGGGAAGGATAAGATTAAGGAGCTTCAAAAAGCTCTCGAGGAGGTGCAGACTGATAATAATCGAACTCAAGAGGATATTATCGAGGTTTCTACGAAATTACAGGATGCGTATAAAGATGAAGAAGAATACTGGCACCAGAAGAGTAGGAACATGTGCTATAAAGATGGAGATCTTAATACTAATTTCTACCATGTGTTAACTAAACAACAACATGCTCGCAACAGAATTGTGGGACTCTATAATGAGGATGGAAATTGGGTTACAGAGGATCAAGGTGTGGAGCGAGTGGCAGTGGACTATTTTGAGGATTTCTTTACTACCACGTCTCTTTCAGAGTTTGAGAATTTTCTTGAGGGGGTCACTCCGAGTATTACGACACAGATGAATCAGATGCTACTAAGGGCAGCAACCGAGAATGAGGTAAGGCAGACTCTATTTATGATGCATCCTGAGAAGGCTCCAGGACCAGACGGAATGACATCTCTTTTCTTTCAACATTCCTGGCATATAATTAAGGAAGATTTGGTGGATATGGTGAATGATTTTTTGATCTCAGGGGAAATGGGACTCACGTTTAAATCTTACCAATATATGCATGATCCCAAAGACTAAATAACCTACAAGGATGACGGAATTAAGACCGATTAGTCTCTGTAATGTCGGGTACAAGATCATTTCGAAAGTCTTGTGTCAAAGATTGAGACAATGTCTGCCTCGGCTTATTTGGGGACTCAATCGGCTTTTGTGGCAGGAAGGTTGATATCGGATAATATACTTATTTCTCAAAAGATGTTTCAAGGATTGAGAACAAATAAATCATGTCAAGAAAAGTATATGGCCATTAAAACGGACATGAGCAAAGCGTATGATAGGGTGGAGTGGGATTTTATTCAGGCACTTCTGCATAAAATGGGCTTTGACTCCCATTGGATCAAGTTAATGATGGGGTGTATATCTTCAATTCAGTATCAGGTGTTAATAAATGGTCAACCCCGAGGTCTTATAGTCCCACATAGGGTTTAACGTCAAGGGGACCCGTTATCTCCTTAATTATTTATTTATTTATTTATTTTGTGCACTGAGGCTTTGATTGCTAATAGAAAGAAGGCTGAACGAGGGAAACAACTTACTGGGATGAAAATTGCAAGAGCTTGTCCACCTATTTCTCATCTTTTATTTGCAGATGCTAGCCTTTTCTTTTGTAAGGCTCAGAAAGAAGAGTGCCAAGTCATTCTCAGGATCTTAAAGGAATACGAGGCTGTTTCAGGTTAAAAAATAAATTTCCAAAAGTCCCCAATACAATTTGGCCATAAGATTGAGGAAACCAGCCTGCAGGAATTGCAGGATATCCTGGGCATTCAGAATCCTGGGGGCATGAGATCTTACTTGGGACTTGATATACCATGATTTTGACCCGTTTTTGGTCATGGTAGTGATATGTTTTTATAATAATTATCTGTTTTGGAGTCTATTAGGTATGTTTTCAGGTTCAGGAGCATTTTATAGTAAAGTGATGATTTAGGTGCCTTATGGAGCTTAAAAGGGAGTTTCCAAGATGACTATGAAGATCCGAAAATGAGAGACACATATCGATCGATACACACCTTGTGTAATCGATCGATGACGATTCCGTAGAAGTTGAAGTCGAGATACTCCATCGATCGATGTACACCATGTACTATCGATCAATACAGAGCGTGATGAGCAAGATTTACTTGGCCGACTTGAAGCCCAAGTTCTCACCAAATTACAAGATTGCCCCTGACGAGTTTTTAACCTAATTGTACTCATATTTATAGTTATGCCTATGAGCCCTAGAAAGACATCATTAGATCAAATAAGAAAGTATTGAGTTTTTATCTAAATTTTGTATTCTATTTAGCAATAAAGTATTTTCTTTTCATCTTATTCTTTTGCTATGAATCTCTTGGCTATGTCTGAGTAGATTCATTTGTTAGATTTGGGGTTCAAATAGTTATGAGGGATTAGCCCAACTATGGAGTGTTGAGTTGTTATATTCATTATCCAAATGAACCCTAATGCTTACTCAAGATTTGCTACCTAGAGTTATGATTATGGAGTGGCTAATCTAATAGTCATTATCCTGAAATCATTTGGCTAAGCCCAGACTCTATTAGGCACGTGCGATAGGCGGTTTAATAGAAATTCTCGGGTGAACATAGTTTCAATTCGATCTGATGCTATATCGATCGATACTCCTATAGAGTTATCAATCGACACTGCGATAGCAACATCGATCGATACTGTCGGCAATCAGATCAATGGACGAGTCTAATAGCGACAGCTATAGGTTTGTCTAAGGATTGAAGTTCTCATATATTTGCAAGCAATTCGTTAAGACATCCATAAATTTATAATCCTGATTTTCTGAATAGTAACCTTGAATCTAACTACTTTCTTTCATTGTTTTTAAACCCAAAACCTATTTTCCTTAGCAACTTACCATTGCTACCAACTTTTATTTATTGTTTTAAACCTATTCCACCTAGCTTAATCACTTAGGATTATATCTTTTGTGACTCTAGTTCCTTGTGGATTCGATCCCTAAGTACTACGATTGAACCTCTTATTTGAGAGAGTAAATCACTCCTTAGGGTTAAACATTTGAGTGATATCAAATTAGGCGCCGTTGCCGGGGAACTAAGATTACTATTAGATTTAATCTGATTCAGTCTAGGTTATTTGTTACTTTTTATTTTTCCATCTTTTGACACAAAGTTTTTTTTTTCTTTTTCTTTTTATCTTTTTCAGGTACATGCCCAGCAGTACTAGAAGCAACAAGGACAAGCAACTTTTGTACTCAGAAGATCCGAACAATCTAGAACGTAGCATCCGCAAAGACCTACGCTCCACATCGATCGATACCAACGCCTCTCTATCGACCGATACGCGCTTTCCACCGACGATCAACAACCGTTCGTCGACCGATTCCCTCACCATCCCATCGATGGACATCAACAGCCGTTCGTTGACCGAAACCCACACCATCCCATCGACCGATCAACAACCATTCGTCGACCGATACCCTTCACTTGACATCGATCGATACTAACCGGCGAAACATGGTAGCGCCTATGATTCTCATACCCGATGAGAATGGAGACCTGCGTGATTAAGATGGTCACCTGTGAAATGCAGCAGGTCAGAAGCTGAATGATCAGAAGGAGGTCATTACTGAAGAAGACACTGCACCCACAGGCATCATTCAACCTGTAGAAGAGACCAGAACTTTGGCTGACTACAACCGTCCGGATCAGTTCTATTCAAACCGATCAGCCATCCTCCCTCCTGCTATTCAGAGAGGAGATTTTGAGCTCAAGCCGCAGTACTACACACTTGTAGGACAAATCCCTTTCTGTGGTTTTCCCCATGACCATCCTATGGACCATCTGGAGAGGTTCGAAGATCTTGTAACCCTAGTCAAAGCAAAAAGAGTCCCTCAAGACTACCTTTTCTGCAAGCTTTTCAAGTACTCTCTATCTGGAGAACAACTACCACCAGGTTCCCTTACCACCTGGAGTGACATCAAGCACGCCTTCCTGCGTAATTTCTTTGATGATTCACGCGCTGAAAACTGGAGGAAGAAAATTGCTACATTTACCCAAGCCCCTGAAGAGTCATTCAAGGATACTTGGAACAGATTCAAATCCTACCAGCGAGACTGCCCACACCACGAATTAAACAAAGTGCAACTGCTCTGCACTTTCTACAGAGGCATCAGCCCAGATTTCAAGAGAGCCCTTGATACAGCTAGTGATGGCAACTTCACCACCAGAAATCCGCAGAATGCTATCAAGCTAATTGATAACTTGGCTTCCAGCAACAGCAC